ATTGATCATGAAGAAGACGTAGTGTTCTCTGTCTCAATCGAGGAAACTTAAAACAGAAGTGAATAACCTCAACAAGGTGGGATTACTACTCTTCTCAAGATCAAAATAAAGTTTGATATCAAGGGAAGGTGTGAAAAGCTATGGATCTCTCGAAATTCTTCCTTTATGTTCAGAAAATCGCCAAAACCTCACTTCTCTTTCTTTGAAATTCGTGACTTTGCTCTGGAAAACGTCAACAACTCGCCTAAGAGCTCAGATCTCGTCAGTACTCGTCTGTCCTCTTCACAATTGCATGAAGGGGGGTTATTTATAGGCCTCGAATACCATGTTTGTGGATAAGATCTCGTGATCTGAGTGTATCTTCAGTTAGAAACGACTTTACCACGTTTAAGGATAACCCCAAGACAGTTAGGAAACCACTGGAACACACAAATCCCAAAAATCTATCAAAATACGCGTCGTCGGGAGGCTGACCGGGCGAGACACCTTTATGTGTCTAGTGTTGGGGAATTTCACTCTCCCCGTCTACTACAATATGCGCAACTCCGAAGTCAACACACAATCAACAAGATATAAAACGACCACAATCAAGAAGAAAGAAGAACACCGAGATTTACATGGTTCGATCGACCAACTTCGACCTACGTCAACGGGGCAACAATATGAGAAATTTACTATGTATCAGGGAGAACTACAAGAGGAACCACTCAACTCTCATCTCTCAATCTCTCAACCTCACATACATAATAAACTCTCATATTCTCTCCAGAGCCCACTTATTGTAATCTTTTGCACGGATAAAGATCACAAAATCTATCTCTAGCCAAAAATCTATCTCTAGCCTAACTTCCTAATTAGAATAGGAATAAAACTCCTAATCATGATGGAACCCAAACTCCTAATCATGATAGATCTCTAACCCTATCTAATTATTATGAAGTTCCACGAAGAATCAAATATACAATCCCAACATCTAGCCATGCATGCGAGACACCTTGATGTGCCTCGCCATGCATGCGAGACACCTTGATGTGTATCGCAAATTTTGAGACACATCTGGCTGTCTCTCTTCGCCGTTTTGTTGATTTGCGCGCTTCGTCATTTTGTCGATTCGCACATTCCTTTGCTTCGTCGCTCCATCGCTTTGTCGCTTCAGATAATCCTCTCTGACTCTGATGATGGCGTTAATCGTTTTCTCTTCGTCTCGAGCTGTGTGCGGGAACCTATATGCAATTTTGAGGCTTACACACGATAGTTACGTTCTTGGTAATTGCCACCGCTGCCACAATGCCCTTTCCATAGCCTTGTTGAGGTTTTGTGAACCGTGCTGCCACTCGGGATGTCTTCGTGCAGCAATGATAGAATTATTAAGGTGGTTTCTTGTTGTCCAACACTTCCTCAATAGATTCTTTTTTGTTACCCAATATTTTTTCAATTAGGGGCTGTTTGGTTGGCTGGGAAACTAAGAGAAGAAACAAAACACCCGACACATCCATGTGAAGGTGTTTGATTTCCTTTTCTTGTGTTTGGTTGAGAGAGGTAAAAAAGAGATGTTGTGCATGTGTGACTCACCCACTAGTAAGATAAAGTATCATGGGTCCCAAATTTAAGAAAACCCATTTAGGGACTGTTTGGTTCCCTGTTTTTGAGGGAAAGGTTCTCTTGAAAGCCTGCCAAAAGTGCCAAAAGTGTCGCTTTTTGGTAGGCTTTCTTTTAGAGGCGATTTTGCTGAAAGCCTGCCAAAGAAGTGACACTTTGGTAGGCTTTCAAGGGAAAAAATTTCTAACCAAACGGACCCTTAACTTTCAGAAAGTTATGAAACAGGTTTGAAAATATGAAAGTGGGTCCCACAACCTATGACTAATCTTCCAAACTTGGGTTTTTAGTAAATGAACCAAACAACCCCTTGTAGACCTTATAGACAATATAGGGTAAGGGAGCAAATGACTACCAAAAGGAGTAAGTGACGGATGTGTGTGTGGTGGGGTGGGGCGGGGGGGGGGGGGGGTCCCTGTCCAACTAAAATAAAGACTGGAGCTTTCTACAGGTACAATATGGCAAATATCAAGAGGGGGCATCAGTCGCCTGGGTGTTGTGCTATTGCTTAGGAAAACCATGACTTAGACGTGTCGGAGGATTTGCCTTTGTTATCTACACATCCATGTGATTTGCCTACTCGATCAATTAATCCCTTTGTTGCAAGAAGAAACAATTTAGCAAAGTGACCCATATCCACATTTATTTTGAGTTTTCTCGGGGGGGGGGGGGGGGGGGGGGGGGCGGTGTTTTAACTCATGTTTAGTTAGGCCATTGGGAATGTCCATAACCTCTTGTTTCTCATCTTTTGTCCCCCATCTTTTTAACTCTTCAGTCACATCGTTAAATCTTTTTTATATAAGATTTCATAGGGGGGGAAAAAGCATTATTGGAAGCTAAAGAAATTAACATATAAATCCATTGGTTTCTAGAAGCCAAGGGTAGAAACAAAAGTTTCCTTTGAATAGTGAAATTCAAACTCTCAATATTTATGATTTCACTGAATTTATCTACTGATACTTTAACCGTTTATATCAATATTTGAAATTTATATATTGGTATAAAATCAGTAGTAAGATAAATGCGGTTTTCTTTCCTCTTAACATGAAATTCTAAAACCTTCTACAATCTTACACCCAAAAAAAAAGTGTGGTTGAGTACGTGTTTCGTAGGTTAGGTTTTGCAATTCAGAAAGGATTAGCCGCGCAGCTTGTTGCCCGCTTGTCATCAACACATGCGTAATTTTTTTATTTCCGAAAATAAAGATGATCTTAAAGGGGGAAAAAAGTTCCAAACCCCCCACTCCCCTCTCTTGCACGCTCTCACATTGCCTATGCTTTGCTGGCCAAACTACGGAGGATGGTGACATGTTCTTTCCTCTCCCATGAGGACTTCCTACACCTCAAGCAATATAGAGCCCAAATCAAATGCCGTTGCCAGCTCCTTTAGCCCACTTCCTTTGTCTCTTTCAATCCTCCCAAATTAGGGCAAAAGGGACAAGAGCCAATGAGATTTTGCATATGATCATGTGTACATATATGATATGATATGTGTGTATCTCAATGACATAAGAGAAAAAGAAAACAAAAATCTCCGTCCAATTGTTTGTTTGAGGAAGCAATTTAAAATGGCAAGAGTGATGAGTGATCATAGTCATCATCATCACTGCTATCACTATCATCATCATCATCATATATGGTTGTGTAGGTTGCATGGTTCTTTGAAAAGCTTATGTGAGGAGGGACCAAATTTGGAAAAGTGATCTTGAAATGCATCATTGATATGGACCAGCAAATGTTTTGATGACCAATATCAAAATGCAATTCTAATCCTGAAAATAAATTTTAATTGACTTATTATTAGGGACTAGGTTTATTATTATTTTTAAATATGATGTGATTTTTTTTTGTAAACCGCACGTTTCATTGTTTTAAATGGCCCAGTCTGCTCTTGGACCAGTAGTATACTTGTACCTGTGTAATTGAAAGAGATGGGCTTTGGATGTTTGAGTGGCGAGCCATTGGTCACATATTAGAGAAAATTGGGCTTTTGTGTGGTGGGTTGAGTGCAAATAATAGGGCTAATAAGTAAATATGTTAAAATAATGCGCCCCTTCTTAGGCTAGAGAAGGAGTCCTGATGAATGCTTAGGCCCAATGAAACAAAATCTTCAAAGGATTCATATGCCAATGCTTCGCTAAATGCTAAACAAATTACAAAAGAATTAGAATTATCACGTTATTTAACAGTCTAAATTAACATTTTGCTAATATCCGTTTGTCAAACCAATAATATTTTCTTTTGTATAGAAATCACAGGATCATCTTATATAGAAATGTTCATGATATCGTTGGTAAAAACAAATTTTTTTTTTCTTTTGTGATCTCCTTTTCATCACTCTATAGATAGTTGAAACTTGGCAGTGTCACTCATAAATGCGATTTACCTAGTATTGTCTAATTTAAAAGAGTTGATCAAGTTGACAAGGTTAGCAAATTAGTACAACTAAATTTATGACAATATTTTCAACTCTAGTTGCAAATATGTAGGTCTTATTTATATCAACTTGATGGACCTTATTAATGACTCACAGTTGCTACTTGCTAGTCATTAATAGACTTCACCTTCCTTGCTAAAATGATCTTAAACCCTCTTCTTTCTTTACTTACATAACAAAAATATTTAATCACGTTCCCATTTTGCTCTTTATAAAAATTTTAAAAAAAAATGAAGGAGGGCTTACATAATAAATACATTATATGCATAAACTTTGACGACAAATAAAATGAGTGAACCAAACACCCCCTAATGATAACTACATGAAGCTATATTATTTTGTACTATAAGTCTTAAAGACATGGAATCTTTTCTTATGAAAATCAATATAAAAAATATAAACTATAGTGTGTTTGAGAGTTTACTAGGAAAAAGAAAAGAAAGATAAAATAAAAAAAAAGAAGATAGAAAATAGTGTGTTTGGGAGTTTATCAGGGAAAAAAAAAGAGAAGATATAAAATATTTAAATAATATTTTATTTGGAAGGGAAAATATAATATTTTTATGTCTCGTCACACGAGGAAATAAACTATATGAGCAATTTTCCTTCAACGAGAGAATTCTTATTTTCTGCGTTGAATATTTTATTTACTTTTTTTTATCTATGTGCATCATGGACTCTTCATGCATTTTGATGATATATCTTAAAAAAATAATAGAAGTGCATTGTTCATAACAATTAACAAAGAGCATCGTTAGATATTGATTGCACTGTTCATAAAAAAAAATATCAACATTTTCCATATATCCCAGTTTATTACGCGTTTGCCCCTGGGCTGGTACTGATCCAAAGTCTATGCCGCTTGAAGTAGTTAGTTATCAGCTAAAATAAATAAGTCGGCTAATTAATTATTTAAATATATTAATTATAGAAGACTCCAAACTTGAATAAAGTAATTAAATAATACTCAAGCCATTCGTCAAAAGATATCATTATCGCTCGACATCTCTATCCAAAATCCAAATCCCAGAACAATCCTTTCTTCTCTCCGCTTCATTCCTTTAAAACTCTCCAAAGGCCAACAAAGCCCCCAAAAGTTCATCAAATTTTTTTTTTTGAGTTGGGTGTGTGAACATCATCCTGTTTTCTTCAGTTTTGGTGATCTAGGTTGGTTTTATTTTCTTGAAGTGGGTTGTGTATAATTTTCTTTGAGGTGATTTGGTTGTCTTGGTTTTGATGATTGCAGGAGAGAGATGGCTGGGCCTTCAGCTAAGTCTTTCAAGCAAGCGCATAATTTTGGTGCATAATAATTAGTTTTTTATGTTTATTTTTGAAAGATTGCATATTATTCTTATCCATAATCTGAATTTGGTTTGCAGAGAAGAGGAAGTCAGAATCTGCGAGGATCAGGGAGAAATACCCTGAGAGGGTTCCAGTAAGATTTTTTTTTGATATTACATCTCTTTATTAAATTTTTTTGTCCTTTTGGATATGTTTTCTATCTAAAATTGTATTTTCTCGAAGAATATTTGGTCTTTTGATTATCTCCTAATCATTGGAGATGTTGATAATTGAAGTTGTTGTTCTTAAATAAATTGACATACCCCCACTATTAGAAGTTTTTAATTTGTTGTGAACTTGGTGCATGTATATGTGCATGCTTTAGTTATTTTGCGTTAGGTCTTATGAACAACGAAACAAACTTGCTTGCTTTTCTGCAAGTTAGAAATCTTTTTTGTATTTGCCTTTTTCAATGGTTTAGATAATTTACATAATGCTATAGCTATTTGTCAGTAAATTGAAACTCTTGATAATTGTTGAAATATGACATCATCTTCATAATCGTTTCCTATAAAAATTGTACCGCTATACGGTGTCTATTTTGTTTAATACTTTAAATGGTTTTGAAATGATTGAAAGTCATAATTAAATTGCAGTTATCACATATATAACTTGTAGTCTTAATGTTGGGAAATTACTCGGATTCCCCTATTGTCAGATTTGAGAGAAAGCGAAAAATAAAAGCGCAAAATTGGGGGACACGCAAGATTTACGTGGTTCGGCACAAAATTGCCTACGTCCACGGGCTGCTGCAGATCTTTCACTATGAAGAGAAAATTTACAACACTCTCACAAATTTTCTCACAACTCAATCCCAACTCTGAAAATTGCTCTCAATTTTCTCTCACAAAGACTTTTCTCTAAGCCTCTCTTTTCTCTCTCTTATTCTTCTATAAGAGGAGTTGTTTCTGGGATGAGTTTTCTTTAAGAGTTTGGGGGCCTATTTATAGTGTTTGGGAGAACACTATGCATCAATAAAAAATATTATTTCCTGTGGTGGGGCCCGCCCACCTTTTCCTTTGTCAAAAACTCGGCACCGAATTCGGTGATGGGATTGGGAGGTGATGGTGGCTTTGGCTTTTGGTGGCAGCCAATTTTGACCAACAATCTCCCACTTGAAGACTGATTTTAATCTGTCTTCACACCTCGATCTATGCAGCAGCTTTTCCCGGTCTTCATACTATTGCAGGCCAACTGAAGCTGAACACAGCTTCAGTTTGTCAATAGTCACCGTCTTTGTCAGCATGTCTGCCGGATTTTGAGCTCCACTGATCTTTTCAAGCTTCAAAATTCCATCTTCCAGAAGTGACCGGATAAAATGATACCGCATCTGTATGTGCTTCGTTCTGGAATGAAAAGACGGATTCTTCGCTAGATGAATAACATTTTGACTGTCGCAGTATAAGACATTTTCTTCTTGTTTCTTGCCTAATTCATCCAAGAAATTTTGAAGCCACACCATTTCCTTGCTGGCTTCTGTAACAGCGACATATTCTGCTTCAGTTGTGGAGAGAGCAACTATCTTCTGCAGTTGAGAAGCCCAACTCACTGCAGTACCTCCTAGAGTATATACATACCCTGTAGTGCTCTTTCTGATATCAACATTTCCTGCTAGATCAGCATCTACATAGCCTGTTAGTATTGTATCTCCACCTTTGAAACAAAGTGCTTTACCTGTAGTGCCTCGTAGATATCTGAGGATCCATTTGACTGCTTCCCAGTGTACCTTGCCCGGATCATTCATGTACCTGCTAACAGCTCCCACTGCTTGAGCAATATCCGGTCTTGTACAGACCATGGCATACATCAGACTTCCAATTGCTGAGGCGTACGGGACCTTCGCCATGTGTGCACGCTCTTTCTCTGTCTTCGGTGACTGATCTTTGGAAAGTCTGAAATGAACACCTAAAGGTGTACCCACTGGTTTTGCATCTTGCATGTTGAACCTGGAGAGTACTTTGTTGATGTACTCAGCCTGTGATAACATCAAAGTCCTAGACTTTGTGTCTCTCTTGATCCTCATTCCAAGAATCTGTTTTGCAGCACCAAGATCTTTCATCGCGAACTGCTTTGACAATTTTTGCTTCAAATTTATAATCTCTTGCAGATCTGATCCTGCAACGAGCATGTCATCAACGTATAACAATAAAATAATGAAGCTATTGTCAAACCTCTTGATATAGCAACAATGATCTGCTTGGCATCTAGTGAAACCGTTGCTGCCCATGAAGTTGTCAAATTTCTTGTACCACTGTCTGGGAGCTTGTTTTAATCCATACAAGCTTTTCTTCAAACGGCATACTAGATTTTCCTTGCCTGCCTTTATGAAGCCTTCTGGTTGCTTCATATAAATCTCCTCCTCCAAATCACCATGAAGGAAAGCTGTTTTTACATCTAACTGCTCAAGATGTAAATTCTCAGCAGATACAATTTTTAACACTAATCTGATTGTAGTCAGTTTCACAACCGGAGAAAAAATTTCATTGTAGTCGATACCTTCCTTTTGCTGAAAGCCTTTGACAACCAATCTTGCCTTGTAGCGCTTGTTCCCATCATGCTCTTCTTTGATCTTGTAGATCCATTTGTTATGCAGAGCTTTCTTACCTTGTGGTAATTCAGCTAAGTCCCACGTCTGATTTGACATAAGTGAGTCCATCTCATCTTGCATAGCAGACTCCCACTTAACTGAATCCTCCACCTGCATTGCTTCATCATAACACTCCGGTTCACCACTGTCAGTCAGCAACAAGTAGTGCAAAGAAGGCGAATAACGCTGGGTTGGCTTAGGAATTCTGGAGGAGCGTCTCACTTCTGGCGTGCTTGGTTCTTCTTGAACTACTTCAGGACTAGTCTGAACATCATTTTCAGAAATCTCCTCAAATTCAGCAAATTCCTTTGTTTCAGCTTTTGTACTGGAGCTACTTGATTCTGCAGTTGATCTGTCTTTGTACATCACATTCTCATTGAATATGACATCTCTGCTTCTGATGATCTTCCGATTTTCATAATCCCAAAATCGGTAACCAAACTCATCACCACCATAACCAACAAAAACACATTTGTTAGATTTGGCATCAAGTTTACTTCTTTCAGCAGAATCTATGTGTACATAAGAGATACAACCAAAAATTCTTAAATGTGAAAGGTTTACCTCTTTTCTGCTCCAAGCTTCTTCCGGTATTCCACCATCCAAGGGAACTGAGGGTCCGCGGTTGATTAGATAGGCTGCGGTATTGATAGCTTCAGCCCATAGGAACTTGGGCAAGCCGGCATGTAACCTCATGCTTCTGGCACGTTCATTCAAAGTTCTGTTCATGCGCTCTGCTACGCCATTCTGCTGCGGTGTCATGGGAACTGTTTTCTCCATCTTGATCCCGCTGTTTGCGCAAAACTCTTTGAATCTACTGTCTTTGTACTCTCCTCCATTGTCTGACCTCAACTTCTTTATCTTCAAACCAGTTTCATTTTCCACCATGGCCTTCCATTTTCTGAAGGTATCAAAGACTTCTGATTTCTTCTTCAGAAAATAAACCCACACCTTCCTTGTAGAATCATCAATGAAGGTGACATAGTACAGTGAGCCTGCAAGAGATGAAACTGGAGATGGTCCCCATACGTCGGTATGAATTAATTCTAACCTTTCTGTCTTGGGTGTCTTGTCAATCTTTGCAAAACTGACTTTCTTCTGTTTGTCAAAGATGTAATCCTCGCATAGGCCGACATCTACATTCTTCAGATCCGGCAGCTTCCCTTTTGACAGAAGTGTCTTCATCCCTTTCTCGCTCATATGGCCAAGCCTTTGGTGCCATAGGTTTGATTTTTCATCTGCATCTGTTACTGCAATGATATTCTCTAAGTTAGAGGTTATATAGAGAGTACCACTTTTCTTACCTCGAGCAATGACGAGTGCTCCTTTGGTAATCTTCCATTCATGACCCGAGAAGGTTGTACAATAACCCTCTCCATCAAGCTGTCCCACAGAGATCAAATTCCTTCTAAGACCAGGAATATGTCTTACTCCTTGCAGCTTCCATGTGGTCTGATTTGGCAATTTTAATCGAATGTCTCCCTTGCCAACAATCTTCAAGGTTTCATCATCTGCTAGATGTACCTTTCCGAAATCACCGCTGACGTAGTTCTCCATGATTTCTCGGCATGGGGTGGAATGAAAAGATGCCCCTGAATCAAGAATCCATGATTCAATCGGACTGTTGACGCTTAGAATCATAGCATCACCTCCTTCCTCAGTCACGTTGGCAGACTCCTGTGCGTCGGTGTTTTTCTTCGGTGCCCGACACTCCCTCTTGAAATGACCCTTCTTGCCACAGTTATAGCACTTAAAGTCTTTCTTTCCTGATCTAGATTTGCTCCTTCTAGATTTTGATCTGCCGTGATTTGAACTTCTTTCTGAAGTTCTTCCCCTAGACTCCGTGTGTAAAGCTGAGGAGGTTGAAGCTTCACCCGATTCTCTCCGTCGGATCTCTTCACTAAGAACCAGATCACGAACATCATCGAACTTCAACTTGTTGCTTCCCGATGAGCTACTCACAGCCGTGACTGTAGCGTTCCAGCTTTCTGGTAGAGAAGAAAGAAGTATCAATGCTCGTACTTCTTCATCAAATTCAATCCCAACTGAACTCAACTGGGTTATGACTATGTTGAGTTCATTGAGATGTTGAGCTGTCGATGCGCCTTCCGTCATTCGCAAATTGAACAGCCGCCTCATCAAGTGGACTTTGTTTGAGGCAGAGGGCTTCTCGTACATGCTGCAGAGAGCCGCCATAAGACCCACCGTAGTCTTTTCCTTTGCTATGTTGAAGGCAACGTTGCGGGATAGCGTCAATCGGATAACTCCAAGGGCTTGTCTGTCGAGGAGAGCCCACTCTTCATCCTTCATATCATCTGGCTTCTTTCCCGAGAGAGGTTGATACAGCTTCTTCTGGTACAGATAGTCTTCGATCTGCATCTTCCAAAAGCCGAAGTGCGCACCATCGAACTTTTCAATTTTCACCTTCCCTTCATCTGCAGCCATCGCTCCCACTCGAATCTGACTTCCTCTGGATCGTTTCTGATAATTTCTGCGAACCACCCTGTATTAAGACACCTCTGCCGACAAAATTCCACTATTCACGAAATTTACTATTCACGTGAATAGTAATCTTGTAGAAATTTGACAGACGTCACAACCAGAGCTCTGATACCAGTTGTTGGGAAATTACTCGGATTCCCCTATTGCCAGATTTGAGAGAAAGCGAAAAATAAAAGCGCAAAATTGGGGGACACGCAAGATTTACGTGGTTCGGCACAAAATTGCCTACGTCCACGGGCTGCTGCAGATCTTTCACTATGAAGAGAAAATTTACAACACTCTCACAAATTTTCTCACAACTCAATCCCAACTCTGAAAATTGCTCTCAATTTTCTCTCACAAAGACTTTTCTCTAAGCCTCTCTTTTCTCTCTCTTATTCTTCTATAAGAGGAGTTGTTTCTGGGATGAGTTTTCTTTAAGAGTTTGGGGGCCTATTTATAGTGTTTGGGAGAACACTATGCATCAATAAAAAATATTATTTCCTGTGATGGGGCCCGCCCACCTTTTCCTTTGTCAAAAACTCGGCACCGAATTCGGTGATGGGATTGGGAGGTGATGGTGGCTTTGGCTTTTGGTGGCAGCCAATTTTGACCAACAATTAATTTATAGCGATGAGCAAGTACGTGACAGATTGGATTGTTGTTTTTACCGATATATTGAAGCATTTTGCTGCAAGATTGTTAAGTTTTTTGTAGGTAACCTTATTGACTAACCAAGGTTTATGCAGGTAATTAGTTATTAACTAAGGTTGCCTTTTCATTTGTCTCTGTAGTAAAAGTATATGATTGGCTTTGCGAGGTTAAGTACTACTGGCTACATGATAACTTTGGTCATCATAGTCTTCTTGGAGATATAATTAGCACTTAGTGTTATAATTCGTTGATAGTCTACGTCTTGCTTGTTGAGTTTAGTAATTCATGGTCATTGGGTAATGGTGGCTTGATTATCATCGTTATGGCTATTGTTATGGTTGCCCAGTGATGAGCTGGACATGTCCTGTTCAAAATTATTAATGTTGATTTTGCAATTTGCGACTGATATTGTTGTTTGAACATATGAATGGCCCGTGCTAATGGAAGCCATTAAACTATTGAGGACGGGAATCCTCTTCTTCATGCTCCTGAAACATGCATAGTTTTAGCTAAACAGTAACAGAGGGGAAAAGTCTTATAATTCCCAGAATACATGTTGATTAGTTGGTAGGTGAATGAATATAACTAGTGAACTTATCTTTCTCCTGGCTTCACTGTGATAGGGGCTAATTTTAGCTTCTTTTTGGATGCTCTAGCAATTTTATTTCCAGATGCTTTGTGGTGTGGATCATACGGTAAAAGAAGGAACACAATCAAGACCCCTTCATTTACCCTTCTCTAGTTTGAAGCTAAGTTCCAGTGGATATAATTTCAGTCACATGGCTTTTATATTAACGTGAGAGAAAATTCTACTGAATACCAGGTCATTTTGTAACTTCTCATCGTAAGCAGATCAATCTTGCATTCCCTAAGTGATAAAGAAATCACACTATTCTTCTTGTTTTTCCTTATGACAGCTCAACACACATTTGTACCCTAACTGGTGGATTTTTGGTAACCCTGCATGCCATATCTCTTTCAATAGATAACTACAACCAGCTATAATTTCCCCTTTTTTGTTGCTTTTTGAAGAACATACGCAAATATCCGAGAGTTAACGTTCTACATATATAAGCTTGACTTGGCATTAATCTTATATTTGGAGTTTTTTGGGGGTATACATCGCTGTACAGGAACATTGTAAATGCCGCATGATGTCTATTTGGGTAGATTACATTTGGGGTACACATGATTTTTGACACTTATAATATTTTCAGACAAAACATCTAAGCAATCTAATTCTAGCTAAATACCCCACTGGGGAATAAACTACTAATAGAACAACTAATTCAAGGTTGAATAGCTAATTTGCTACTAAATTCACCCCTTGGAGGCCATACTTTGATATAAAACAAATGCATCAGAACTTTCTCATTAATAAATCTTAAGGAACCATCTCATATAAATAAATAAATAAAATATTTTTGACTATTAAGAAACACGGTTTGTTCAAAAAGGAAAAATGAACTTCTTTATCTATTTATCAATGTTAGATCTCAGCCCCACGTATACTGAGGATCTGTAAATGCATTTGCACCTAAGTGTCCTTTGGTTCCCTTGTTCGTCATAGCTTGTTTCTGGAAGATTTTTTTTAATGTTATATTTTGGTCATTTCAGGGTATTATATTTTGTCAATAACACAAGCATAAGCATTCAACTTTTCTACTTTGAATTTGCTTTATAGATGCTGCTTATCTTCTCTCGGTCATATAATGCATAGGCGATCAAATGTACTGAGAATTCTGCTTTCTGTGATTTTTAAGGTGATCGTGGAGAAGGCAGGGAAAAGTGATATTCCAAGTGTCGACAAGAGAAAGTAAGTGCCTTTTTTTGTTGCGCACTCAGCTCTGTCCTCTTTAATTCACATTTTAAGTAGTTCTTTTTTGTTGTTGGACGATGAATGATGTTTACTCATACTTTTTAATTCTGCCTTTACGTCAGGTATTTCCTCGAGTTGGCCAAATTTTTCTGTGTTTTTGTGAATTTAGTAATTTTTGGTATATCCTGAATGTAGGTACTTGGTTCCTGGCGAGTTGACTCTTGGACAGTTTGCTTATGTTATTCGGAAGAGAATCAACCTTACTGCAGAAAAGGCCATCTTTTTATTCATAGATGATATTCTTCCAACTTCAGGTACTTTGTAGCATAGCTAGTTCTTTACAAAGTTTATCGATGATCGACTCTTTATGTTGTTATACATCATTTTAAACCTTTTTTTAATTAGGATCTCTAATGTCTGCTCTCTATGAGGAGAAGAAAGATGAAGATGGGTTTCTCTACATTACGTACAGTGGAGAGAACACTTTCGGGTTTTAGCTCCCTGTAGTATTCGTATTTTCACTGCATCATTCTCTGCTAGTTTCATGCTGCTCGTTCTTTTAATTTTAATTTTTTTTGTCTTCCTCTGTTCGTAGAATGAGACATGAAGATCGTTGAGCTGTACAGTTTGCAAGTCTTATGTAGCCACCATGGGGTCATGACTGTTAATAAAAAAAAAAAAGATGCTTGGCACTCCAAACTATAGTTTCTTTGAATGAAATGCTACTTTCGATGCTTGATTAGTACAATTGCGTTGAGGATCTTTGGTTGTTGCCATTGCAAACAAATGTTGCCATTTCTTCTTTGGCTTAATTGCGAATAAACACCTGTAGTATTATGTTTTAGAACTTTTGGCTGCTCTAGTTTGATTTTCTCAGATAGGCCTATTGACAAATGATTGAACTCCAAAATTCATGATTTCATGAGCTATAATACACAAATTTTGGACATTTCGATCCATTGGCAAATAAATTTGCGGAGGCTAAAATTCATGATTTTCGACCAATTGGCAAGTAATTTGGAGGAGTCCAAAATTCACAATTTTATGGGCTATAACATCAGATTTTTTGGTTATTTTTAGTAGTTTTGACAGAGTCCAATATTCACGATTTTATAAGATATAACCCAAGTTTTTTGGTTATTTTTAGTAGTTTTGACCCATTGACAAATAATTTCACGTAGCCTAAAGTTCACAATTTCATGGACTTTTTTGTCATTTGAAATCAAGTTGACCCATTAGTAAACATTTTTGCAGAGATTAAAATTCATAATTCCTTAAGCTATTACCCATGATTTTTGACCGTCTTTATCCATGTTGACCCACTAGCAAAATTTTTTTAGCAAATTTTTTTTTGGAGTAAAAAATTTATAATTACTTGAGCTATAACCCATATCCCCCCACCCCCTCCAGTTTTGTTCTTTTTGACTCGAGGGAATTTTTTTTTTGCAGATTTCAAAACTCACGATTTTATGAGTTTAAACTAATGATTTTATGCTATTTTAGTCATTTCGACCCATTGTTAAATAATTCTATGGAGGCAAAAATTCATTATTTCTTGAGCTATAGCACATGGTTTTTGGCTATTTTATTTATTTTGACATATTAAAAAATAATTTTATAGAGTTTAAAATTTATGATTTTATAAGTTATAACCTATGATTTTAGCCTTTTTTGTCATTTTGACCCATTGGTACAATATTTCGTGGAGTCTAAAATCCATGATTTTGTTAGTTGTAATCCATGATTTTTGGTCATCTTTAATTGTTTTGACCCATTAGAAAATAGTTTCACAGAGTCTAAAATTCACAATTTCGTGAGCAATAACCCACAATTTTGGCTATTTTTAGTTATTTTGACCAATTGGCAAATATTTTTGCAAAGTCTAAACTTCACAATTTCATTAGGCATTACCCAAGATATTTGATTATTTTATTCATTTTGATCCATTGTTAAATATTTTCGCAGACTCGAGAATTCACAATTTTACGAGCAATAAGCTACGTTTTTTGGCCATTTTTAGTTGTTTCGATCTCTTGGCTAATGGTTTCATGGAATCCAAAATTTAGAATTTCATGAGTTATACCATGATTTTTTTGCCATTTTTATTGGCCATTTTATATGTTTTAACCCATTGGTTAATAATTTTGCTGAGTCCAAAATCTAAGATTTGATGAGTTTTTATGAGTTTGAACCAATAATTTTATGTTATTTTTAGTCATTTTGACCCCTTGTTAAATAATTCTATGGAGGTATAAATTCATTATTTCTTAAGCTATATCACATGGTTTTTGGCTATTTTATTTATTTTGACATATTGACAAATAATTTTATAGAGTTTAAAATTTATGATTTTATAAGTTATAACCTATAATTTTAGCCTTTTTTGTCATTTTGACCCATTGTTAAAATATTTCGCGGAGTCTAAAATCCATGATTTTGTTAGTTGTAATCCATGATTTTTGGTCATTTTTAATCATTTTGACCCATTGGGAAATAATTTCACAGAGTCTAAAATTCACTATTTCGTGAGAAATAACCAAAGATTTTGGCTATTTTTAGTTATTTTGTCTCATTGGCAAATATTTTTGCAAAGTCTAAACTTCACAATTTCATTAGACATTACCCACGATATTTGGTTATTTTATTCATTTTGATCCATTGTTAAATATTTTCATGGAGTCGAGAATTCACAATTTTACGAGCAATAAGCTATGATTTTTGGTCATTTTTAGTTGTTCCGATCTCTTAGCAAATAATTTCATGGAATCCAAAATTTATAATTTCATGAGTTATACCATGATTTTTTTGCCATTTTTATTGGCCACTTTATATGTTTTAACCTATTGGTTAATAAATTTTCTAAGTCCAAAATCTAAGATTTGATGAGATTTTTGGCCATTGTTTAGTCATTTTCATCCATTGGCAAATAACTTTGCAGTGTCTAATATTCATGATTACATGAACTATAGCCTCCGAATTTTGACTATTTTAGTTGTTTCGTCCCGTTGGCAACTAACCCATAAATTTTGGCTATTTATAGTTATTTCGACCAATTGACAAACAATTTCACAGAGACCAAAATTCAAGATTTTATGAGCTATTACCCATGATTTTGGTTATTTTATTTCATTTCGACCTATCGACAAATACCCATGCTTTTTTTCGATTTCCTTCATTTTGACTCAAGGGAAATGTTTTTTGCGGAGTCCAAAATTCATGATTTTATGAGTTACAACTATTGGCGTTGAGCTCTTTTTTTTTGCCATTTTGACCCATTGTCAAGTAATATCATGGAGACAAAGATTTATTATTTCTTGAGCTATAACCCATGATTTTTGAAAATTTTCATTCACTTTGAACCGTTGGTAAATAATTTTGCAGAATCTAACATTCACTATTTCATAAAATTATTGACCAAAGGATGAAAACTAATAAAATGGAAAAAATTATTGGGTAATATCCAATGAAAATCGTGAATTTTAGACTCAGTGAACTTATTTACCAATGGGTCAAAACGATAAGAAATGACAAAAAATCATAGGTTATAACTAATAAAATCGTGAATTTTAAACTCCGTGAAATTATTTGCTAACAGATCGAAATAACTAAAATAGCCAAATTTATGGATTATAGTTAACATATTGTGAATTTTTATACTCTATCAAATTATTAGCAAATGATTACAAAATGGATAAAAAGTGTGGACTATAGCTAATGAAATCGTGAATTTAAGACCCCACAGAAATTATCTGGCAAGGGGTTAAAACAACTAAAATTGGCCAAAAATTAAAGTTCATCACTCACGAAATCATAAATTTTAAACTCCACAATATTATTTGTAAATGGGTGGAAATAAATAAAAATGATGAAAAGCATGGGTTATAGCTCAAAACAATAATAAATTTTTGTTTCAATGAAATTATTTTACAATGGGTCAAATGACTAAAAATAGCGTAGAATTATTGGTTATAACTCATGAAATCATAAATTTTTAACTCCATAAAAAAAATTTCTTGGGTCCCAATGGATGAAAATGAAAAAAGCGCGGGTCATAACTAAGAAATGGTAAATTTTTTACTTCACAAATCGAGAGGAATAAAAATGGGCAAAAATAATGAGTAATAACTTATAAAATCATAAATTTGATCTCCATGAAATTATTTTTCATTGTGTCAAAATAGCTTCAAATTGCCAAAAATTGTGGGTAATAGCTTATGAAATTATGAATTTTGGACTCTGCGAAATTATTTACCACTGGGTCGAAACAACTAAAAATAGCCAAAAATCATGGATTAAAGTTCACAAAATCATAAATTTTAAAGTCAGTGAAGTTATTTGCCAATGGATCGAAGTGATCAAAATGACCAAAAATCGTGGACAATAGCTCATGAAATCGTGAGATTTGGACTATGAAAAATTATTTGCCAATGTGACAAAATAATTAAAAATTATTAAAATTATTGATTATAGCTTATGAAATTATGAATTTTAGACTCTACAGAATTATTTGCCAAAGGGTTGAAATGAGCAAAACTGGCTAAAAATTGAGGGTTATAGCTCATGAAATCATGAATTTTAGACTCGACAAAATTATTTACTTATGAGTTGAAATGAATAAAAATGGTAAAATCATGAAATTGTTTGCCAATGATCAAAATGACTAATAAGGGATAAAAATCATGGGTTATAGCTCATGCAATCGTAAAACTTGAACTACACAAAATTATTTACTGATAGATTGAAATGAATAAAAATGACCTAAACTCACGAATAATTGCCCATGAAAGCATGAATTTTAAACTTTATGAAATTATTTGTGAATGGGTAGAATTTACTAAAAATGACCAAAAATTATGGGTTATTGCTCATTAAATCTTGAATTTTGAACTTTATGAAATTATTTGACAATGGATTGAAGCATATAAAAAAGGTAGAAAAATCTTGGGTAATTGCACTTTGTAATTGTAAATTTTAGGCTCTCCAAATTACTTGCTAATGGGTCGAAATAACTAAAAATGGCCAAAAATTATGAGTTGTGGCTTGTGAAATGGTGATAATTTCATTCTATAATATTATTTGCCAATGGTTAGAAATAAAAAATGGTAAAAATCATTGGTTATAGCTTGTAAAATTATAAAATTTGGATTTTATGAAATTATTTGTCAAATGGTCAAAATAACTAAATATGACCAAAATTTGTGGCTTATAGCTCATGAAATCATGAATATTGGTCTATGCGTAATTGTTTGCTAATGGATCAAAATGAATAAAATGACTAAAATCTTGAGTAATACATAATAGAATTGTGAATGTTTTGGACTCTGCGAAATTATTTGTCAATGAGTCAAGGCAACTAAAAATGGTTAAAAATCATGGGTTATAGTTTACAAAATCTTAAATTTAGACTTTATGAAATTATTTGCCAGTAGGTCAAAATGACTTAAAATAGCCAAGATTCATAAGTTATAGCTCACAAAATTATGAAATTAAACTCAACAAAACTATTTACCAATGAGTCGAAATGAAAAAATGGTCAGAAATCATGAGTAATACCTCATAAAATCATGATTTTCGAACCCGCAAAATCTATTTGGCGATAAGTAGAAATAACTAAAATTGCCAGGAAGTGTGTCAGTTATAGCTAGGGGTGAGCATCGGTCGATTCGGTTCGGTTTTTTACCAAAATTTGAACAACCGAACCGAACCGCCTACAATTCAAAATCGAAACGAACCATTGCAAGTCGGTTC